AAAAGTGAAAGCAGTTGCTGAGTGGCCAGTTCAAGTACTGTGACTGAAATTAGATCTTCTCTAGGGCTTTGCAGTTATTACTGGCGTTTTATTAAGAATTTTTCCTCAGTTGCCAAACCACTGCATCAACTCACAGAATAGGGAAGGAAATTTCTATGGAGTAAAGAAGCACAAGAAGCATTCGAAATGCTGCACAACAAACTAATAACTGCTCCAGTATTTCCCCTACCTGATATTACAAAACAATTTATTTTGGATGCTGACGCTAGCAACGAAGCGATTGATGCGGTATTATTCCAAAATATTGACGGTAAAGAACTTGTTATAGCATATGCTAGTCGTACATTGTCAAAGTCAGAGTGAAGGTATTGTGTGACAAGGAAAGAACTTTTGGCTGTTGTCCATTTTATTAAGCATTACCACCACTATCTCTATGGTAAACAATCACTTTTTAGAACTGACCATGGATCATTGAGATGGCTTTTAGGGTTCAAAAACCCAGAGGGCCAGTTGGCTAGGTGGCTGGATGTATTCAGTATCTATGGTATGAAAATTGAACACAGATCCGGTAAAAAGCAAAGTAATGCGGATGCGCTAAGCGGAATACCGTGTGCTCAGTGTGGTTTTGATCCTTCATCATTGGAAAATGATCCGAAAGTTGAATCAGCTGTAAGAATTTTGCTGCCATCGGAGACAAAACGTGACGACATGGATTATAGTCTTCAAGAAGCTCAAGAGCATAGTAGAGACATTAAGCTTGTAAAAACATGGGTTGAGAAAGGAGAGCGACCAATTGCAAGTTTTAGCGATATTTCTATGCATGGCTATGTAGTGAAATCTTTGTGGAATCGATTTCCTAGACTTACTATAGAGAACGGATTGCTAATGCGCAAGTGGACTCTGCTTCGTCCCAACAAAGAAGTACATCAAGCTATCATACCTGATCAAGAGCGCAGACGCGTCTTAAAAATGTATCATGATAATCAGACGTCAGGACACTTAGGGGTGAACAAAACGATAGCTAAGATACTTTTGGCCTGGATTTTAAAAAGATGTTTATCAGTATGTTACAGGTTGTGGCAAACGTACGAGACGTAAAAATCCAAATCCTACACATAGGGCCCCAATGCAGATAACTGGATCAGGTATGCTTATATGGAAAGAATTGCAACATATATACTACGTGAGCTACCTGAAACTGATAGAAGAAATCACCACATTTTGGTTGTGTCAGACTATTTCACCAAGTGGACAGAAGCATTTCCTCTGCCAAATATGGAAGCTGAGACGATTGGACGTACTATGGTGGAATAGGCAGTTGTCAGATTTGGTACATGTATCCCTTTCACTGTTCATTCGGACCAAGGTCAGCAATATGAGAGCAAGCTCTTTCAAGAGATGTGTCGGCTTCTTGAAATTAAAAAGACCCGTACAACACCTTATCACCCGAAATCAGACGGGATGGTAGAGCGTTTTAACCGCACACTGCTCTCTATGTTAAGTACTTACGTACAAGAAAACCAGCGTGACTGGGATTTGCATCTTCCATGAATACTTATGGCAAATCGTTCCACAGAACATGACACAACCAATTCCTCGCCAAACATGCTAATGCTGGGACGCGAAGCAACTACACCATTAGATTTGATGAATGAAATGCCTCCAGATATAATAGATATTCCAACAAGTCAACGGGTTTGGGTGTTACGCAAACGATTAGAGTTAGCACAAAAATTGGTCAGGGAAAACATGCAAGGTGAAAGGCAGCACCAGAATATATACCATGATACCAAAAAAGCATGGTCATTCTTTAGACCCGGAGAAAGAGTTTATGTATTTTTTCCTACAAGAAAGAGCGGTTGTTCTCCGAAGCTAACATCGTTTTGGAGAGGGCCTTTCTTAGTGGAAGACAAACTATCGGATGTTTTATGTAAGGTTGCATGCGGAACAAAAAGCAAAAGCACTATTATTCACTGTGATCGCATGCGGAAGTGTAAACCACAGACACTCCAAAGAGAAAATAACAGTATTTTAGAGAGTCCAAACAATGCGGACGATGATACTCAAGAAAGTCTTGTAGAAGAAAATGGAGAACAATGTGTATATCAGTCAAAATCCAAGCGATTGTGCTCTGGATAGGACTAGACGCATTACAAATGCACCTCCATGACATGATGATTTTGTAGTAGAATGCAAAATATAGAGCATGTGAATTATTGTACACAGTGGTACAATAGTTATCTGCCTGATTTTACGAGATTTTGTTTGTTTGTAGGACATGGTTTTAGCTTTAATATTATGATCTTTGTGTTACGGCGTATGTATATATGTTGGATTTCAGTTATGTCCCTTGTGATTTAAGAGGAATACGAGATGCATTTCCTGGAGGCGTAAGTAATGAAACGAAACTGTAATCAAGATCAAATTATCCCTTCGTTTCTCGGTAGTTACATTGTGACGACTTCCTGTTTCTTTGAGTTCTCAGAAAGTCACGTGACCTGAAGTTGTATATATACTGAGAAAGTCGGGTTGATCAGTAGTCTGTTGCCGACTGCTGATGTGTGAAGATAGCCTAGAAGAATAGAGCCAAGCGTCTTAGGTAGTGTAATTAAGCGATACCTGAATAAAGTCTTACGTGCCTGCAATTGGCTTTCGGGACTTTGTTAGTGTATATATCATTATATATATAGGGTTTTGGCTGAAGGTAAGAAGCCAGTGCGCTTCAGTCCTTGAAAGGCGCGTGCGCTCCCGAGAAACGATAGGGATAGTGTACCTATTCCAAATTTGAATTTGTGATTGAAAAAATTTATTAATTCTTAAATTGCTCAGGTAGAGCAGCCGAATCCCATAAACGAACCCGAAATGTTACAGTTTTGACATACTTTTTGTATCCAGTTGCATTATTTAATGAAAAACCCTCATATTATTTTATTAGTCATGCTTTTTTTTTTTTTTTTTTTTTTAGGATATTTGAGTTTTAATGTAATGTCACGTTCTTGGACACGTAAGTACATGTATGCATGTATACTGTATGTATTGTTTAGTTCTGCGACTATTTATTACATCCAATTTCGGGTCAAATCGGGTTTCGGAATGAAGGATTTCACAAGTCTATTATTTGATATGCACAATATCAAAGGACTAAAGAACTTCAATATTTATCCCATTTTACCCCCACCACACCCCTTTTGCCGGGTTTTCCTCTCATATAAATTCTGTTGTCAAATAACTCTTTATTCTACTTATTATTAAATAACATTCATAATGAAGTACAATTTATGAATGTTAATCCGTTTCTTATGGGGACATGGATTTTCCTGGATTAGCTTAGAACAGCAGTCTACCCATCCCCACCCACCCAATCCCTATTCAAGCAAAAAAAAAAAAAAAAAAAAAAGCACAATGTTACTATTTGATGTTATGTACCTATTAATTTGGCAAATAAAAACAGATCCTGAATTAAGCGAACAAATTATTACATTACGAAATCAAAGAAAAGAATTTCAATCCGTTTACAGAAATCAAATGCAATTCAATCAGTGTTATTTAAAATTAATAATTGAGTTTATATTTCAGTCACTTGTTCAATATAAAACTATAAATGTAAGAACATTCATTGCTGTATGAAAGTATAAATGACCATTTTTGTCAGTGTGTAATTTAGACGCTAGTGAAAATGGTTGTGCATAGATGATGATTGTCATTTCACTTTTAATCAAGCGGATTACAAGCAAAATGACAACAAATATTTGATATGCGGGTCTTTTTTCCCGATGATATATAGTAATCCTAGTATAGACGACAATTTTATGACCTTACGGCTTGTGTTATTCAAGTATATTTTTCATTATCTCGATCATAACCCCTTTTCATGAACTGGGTAGTATTTTCTATCAAATTCTTAACTTGTTAAGGTCAGGAGCACGTGAAATGTGAATAACGAACGCATTTTTAAAAAGCTTACATTTTATTTAATCTGCACAATAATCTTTTTCTAATTTCTGGTAAATTTGTTATTTTTTATTTTAGCATTACTTAAGCCATAGGTATCTCTCAAAATCGATTCAATATAAGGATGACAGTAAATTTACATTATATGATTATATAGCTTTGTTCTATACTTGTACAAATGCTGAAAAAAAAATGAATCAGCTTTTAAATGCATTAGAGGGTATTGGGAGAAAAAAAAGTAATCTGCACTCATATATTTACAAGAAAAAAGAGGAAATTTATCTGAGCGTGTGAAAAAAACTTCAGATTTATGATTACTGAATATGGTATTTTTTTCCTACTAACACAGAGTTACATGTATACGATGTATAATATAAAAAAAAAAAAAAAAAAAAAAAAAAAAAAAAAAAAAAAAAATCATTTCCAACTGCAGGGGCCAGTATATGCAAGCATCATATCACTATAATATATGACGTGAATATGTGCGTTGTCCTTTAATGTAAGTAAATTTATAGAGCGAGGATTGGTATCTATTTTAAAAATACTAGACGCTTCTTTTGTAGTGCACCAAGTATACAATTCCTGACATTTATGGTTAAATTTGAAACGTAATATACTCGACAAAAAATTCTAACTTTTAAATTTCAATTCTAAATGGTCGTATAGTGTAGGGCGGCGCCGCGAGAATTCCATCGGCATCTGAAGCAAGCTTTTTGACTTGCCTAGATGGACGAGAGCTCTAGCTCGCTGTTCCTGTACTGCAAGGAGACAGATTCCGTAGGTCGAGATTTTAACCCCGGGCTGGGGCAGAAGTGGGTATCCTTATAAAAGTGAATATCTTTGTGATTTCTATATAAATATTTCTTCATTTAGGGCAGTTATGTAAGTTAAAGAGTTGTTGTAAAATATGCTTATATATATAACATCAGCAATTGCGCAACATAAAATTCACTTGAACTTTTATTCAATTTAGGACAAATCTTTTAATAATGCCGTTTTCAATTATCATGAGAAAATATAGAACGAAATATTCTGATTATGCACACCTGGTATTATATATCCTCTCAGTTTGTTCTTTTTTGCTGTGTGTTGTGTAAACCGATCTTATCTGACCTGAAATCACAAAAGACTGTCGCATTCTTTTGATTTTTTTTAAATTCAATTCGAAAGCTTTAACAATTAAAAATTCAAACTTTGGAGCCTTGCAGAATTTAAATATAGTGGGGAGAGGGGGCTGTTAAGACACTGCTAGAATAAAATAGAGTGGAAATGAAACTAGCCGGGGAAGAGCCTACACATTATACCTGGACTCCTGTGACATGTTTGTTCCTCTGGCACAGTAATCTTATGCTGTTTTTTTTTTTCATTTTGTTTTTCTTCACATAGAGGCTACAAGTACGCAAATTAGGATTAGTCACATGCAGTAATCTAAATATCTTATTGCCTAGTATGCATGCATATAGTAATCTAAATACATGTGAATGCGCGGCATGCTATTGCCCTCTAGATCTCTATCTTTTAAAATTTCACCATCTCCATGGGCGTAGTCACTTTCAGATATGGGGGTCGCAAGAGTATGTCTGTGCCACCTCCCCCACTTAAAATAGAACAAAATCACATCTATGTTGAAATTATATTAAAGCTCATTTTATGGCAAATTTATTTTATTTTCAGCAACAACTGAGTAAGCATTTCTCTTGAAGCAATAGCAATGTAATATAATAATTAAATCTGTCAAGACCTCTTGTGTTCGAATGTTTGGGATAGGGACTTGATCTAAGTTTGGACGTTTCTGATTCACTCAGCATCTATTATCTAACAAAATTAAATGAGAAGCACAAGCTGCCCTTTGTGCTGACATCTAAAAGTCATTACTAGTATTTATTTGCTGTATCTCATTTCTTGTAGGCTGTGCAGTAAGATTTGTCAAACCACTGGATTTTTTAATTATTTGCTGATTCGTTAGTGATTATATGCTTGCAGTTTGACCATCTCTTTCAATCAGTCGGAAACTGTACTTTGGAAACTATTAACTATAGCTTTCAGTTTGGTTTCCAAGAATTAAATATTGAATTATCTAAAGACTCTTTATTTTCTAACCTTCACGTATAAGTTTAATAAATTTGTTTTGCATCTGAAAAGTACTCTTTATGTTTACATATATGTACTTTAGAATATATCCTAGCCGATCCGAATCTCATCAAGATTAGTATTTTCTACAAGATAGCTGCAGTATTGAAGATTCTGATTTCGGTATACCTGTGATGAATGTCAATCAATTTTAAGTGCACTATTTGAAGTCCTCTTATTCATCTAAGACAGGGGCTTGATATTACATGTTTTACATCTTAATTTCTTTATACATGTATTACACGTTTTACGTCTTTCTTAGAATTGAGCCCCCCCCCCCCCCAACTTTTAAGTTTGTGACTACGCCTCTGATCTCTCAATACTGAAAAAAAACAATAATGGAAAACCTATCCCTATAATTTGAAATTTCCGTCAAACGACAAAAAATGTTACACTAAGTAGTTTTAAAAAAGACATATTGTACTACTCTATGCTCATGAACTTTATTAAAAAACACTGATAAATGAAAAGTAGCTGAGAAAAAGAATAACCAAAAGTAACAGTTAAAAAGGACGTATAAAACATTGAGGTCTACATACTGCATATACAAAACATACAGTGTTGACTTTTGATTCTTATTTCCTTCAGGAGGGCACACAAATGTTTATTAGTCGTTGTAAATCGGGGTTAAGCCCCCTTCCCAGATTTTGCAAAGATAGACATAATAGAGGCATTGAAAAGTGGGCTTATCCCCCCAAATGTTTTTTTTTTTTTGTGGTTTAGCCCCCCCCCCCCCCCCACACACACACACACCGTCAATTTGTTTCCGACGCCTATGCTCTGTATCTCATAAAATTATCACTGGCCAACGATCATGAAAGTATACTGACCACAGTGACATAATTTGTGTAATACTATACTTAGCCAAGGGACGGCCCAAAGCGGTGAAGGAGACCACATCAAATGTGAGCTAAGTAATTAAAATGTACATAACTTTGAACCAAAACTTTAAACAAAAATTAAAAAAAAAAAGAAATTACACAGGCATTTTCAAACTATGAGTGAAACCAGCAGCATAAGATATGTGTGTGCATGTGAACAGACGATTCACCATACAGTGCATACTACATGTCGGAGTGCAAATCGTAAACAAGTCGATGCATTGACAATGTAAACCTTCAGTTTTGCCCTAAATTAAGTAACTTCATGACATACTTACAGTTAAAAGCATTGTATGTATATTCACTTCCGTCCATTTCCAGTACCACACGACATAGACTGGCCTTGCCTGTCTGATATGCTCGAAATACAGACAGGTGATCAGTAATGTATAGAGCCCTCTGCTGGCCGCGCTCATTGGCTGATAAAAACTCTCGCTGACGTAGAATTTAAATATCTCGGGGAAATCAAAACAGATACTCTTGTTGTTTTACCGACTGGCTACGGGAAAAAGGTTAATTTACGAGGTGCTGCCCAAAAAATATGATACAAAGATTGTAATTGTTTCACCATTAAATTCCATTATAGAGGAACAATCAGGAAAATTTGCGGATCGCCGATTTTTGCCTGACGGGAATATTATCCAATCAGAACGCTCGGTTTACACACACTTTCTGAAGCCAAGGACGCGCCGCCATTTTGCCCGACAACAGCGAAAAAATCGACATTTCATCGGAAAGCTTATGAGCGCTCAATTACGATAAAACGTTATTGTTGGGATATTTGCAACACTTTTAGAAGATGCCCCGATCATTCCTAAGTAAGAAAAGTGTTTGTCCTTTTCTGAAACCTCGGAAAGACTTTGAAAAGCGAGGTGATGTTACAAATCTGATGTGTGCATGCTTGGTTCCGTCATCTACAATATCTGTTGTAAACAAAGATATGCTCAACAAATAAGTTAAGACAAGCGTGTGTCCGAAGGTAAATAGCTAATCCTTCGATGTTTACAGTCATCGCACGATTAAAAAATATTCACACGTTGAAAATCGATAAGTTATATGTAGTGAAATTGCCTTATTTACATATTTCACTTTCTCCCTACTGTCTTGACCTCTTACCCTGGTCTGTCCATATACTGGGTATGTCACGTGATGCCTAGTATTATCGCCACTTCAATCCTTGAAGCTTCAGTCCCGGTCTAGAAGTCTTACCTACCTGTTGTGTTATTGTTTGCCTGTTTGTTTTTTACCTGGACTCATGTTTGACTGTCGCCTTCGTCATTGAAGGTAAGGCGCCAGTTATTTACTGTATATATAATATATCGGTTACACGACATATATGTATTACTGCTGGGAATGGTTACAGGCCAAGTTAGGCCTATATATATATATATATATATATATATATATATATATATATATATATATATATATAGATCTGCATACCCGGCCTGTGTATGACACGTATGTGTATGTGTGTCATCAGATAGAAAAGTGATGAATAAGCTATAAGTTAATATGAAATTCTTATGAGCAAATCCAGCTAACCTGTTCCTCATTTCACATCTGTATATAGGCCTAATATATAGATCTAACCAAGAGCCTAACAGATAATACATGTATGTACATGTACAGTGTAACTATTCACTTAGGAATACATGTACATGTAGATGTGTGTCTAATAATGACAAAAGAATATTAATAGTTATTATGTACATTGTATTTTACTCATTTATGTTATTGTTATTTCATTATTTTGAACTAGCAACACTACATATGCCATTAAAATAAATGTTTTCTGAAGTCTTCTTCATAGAATGTTGTTAACATTTGCAAGTGTAGGATATTTTCAGATACATAAAATTTACTATTCTAAAATGTGTTTATTTTTTTTAATTACTTATAGCATTTGTTGATGGACAGCCATTTGATAAATACTCTGATCTAGTGCCTGCAGTAGGATATGAATCAGTAACCCCAACTAAAAAACCTGCCAAAAGAGATTCAAGTTCTTTGTGAAAGCTACACCAAAGCAGAAAATCTTCATGGACATGTGTACTGTTATAGTACATTAATCTGTAATCAAATGTAACCCAAGTCAAAGTGAACTGCTTATTTAAGCAGTTTATAAACAGTTATTAGGCAGTCTGGAGGTTTTTGGGCAGTTTTTAAGCAGTTTCTAACAGTCTTAGTCTTAGCATTCCTTAAAACTGCTAACAGACTGGTTAAGAAACTGCTAAGAATTTGTGTTAGCAATTCAGTATTGAACAAACTTAAGGAGGGATTCTTCTCTTAAGAATACTTATTTCTTATATTTAAAAATCAATGAAATTTTCACAGAATCAAGAACACAATATCACTAAGTGATGGTATTAGTTAGATTAAATCTGATTGTTTTATATTAGAGGCAAGGTCAGGTCAAGGTCAGTACCTTTTCCCTGGACATTAAGATTAAAAAAATACTGTTGCCAATCACGCGATGCCTACTTCTATTTCAATAAATTAAATATTTTTCTTTTTGCATAAAGAGATATTGCCATATAGGATCTATTAGATGATATTACCAAATTGACATAAATAATTTAACTAAAATGGATATTGGCTAATCCGAATTTTCTCTATTTTTCTTAAAATTTTAAGATATTTTAGTCGTTTTTATATGCTTCCTATATTTAATTTTTTTTTTATTTTCACATATGGAAAAGTTGTCACATAAAGATTCAAAATGATATAAAAACAAAATGTTTTGACCGTTTACTAAGAGAGAAAAAACACTTTTTACGGATTTTTGGCTCAAATCTGAACTTAGATTGGAAGCTTTTAAAAGATAACAAATTGTACTTTGTTTGGAAAATCATATTTATTTGATATATTTTAAAACTTGAGTCCCTTATTATTAATTTAACTTACATTTTGAAATTTTCTCCAAGTCTTCAATTGTGTAAAAATTATAACTAAATTCATTGTTCTTTAATTATTTTGAGAGGCAGAAAAGAAGATATTTTCATACGCCGTCTTTCCGCCAAAAGTATAGTCCCTGCTAGATTTCAAACTCAGTTTACCATTTCTAATTAAAGTTGTACAATTGTGATGAGGAAAGAAAAATATCATCTTTTAAATCTCTTACATCTAAATATTTAAAACATATAAGCAAATATACTTTTAATATTTCATCTAGTCAGAAACCAGACAAGAATCCCTCCTTAAGTAGTCAAACAAGCAGTTTCTCAAAACTGCTAAAAGTGCAACTAATTCATTTCAATTTCTCACATGAGGAAATACTATACTTTGTCACTCTTGGTGGTCCGAGCTTTCACTAGCCTTCATTACAATTGCCCATGTGTTACTATTAATGCATCACAAATAATTGGGGGCCAGGCAGGAATTTCTTATACAGAAAATAAAATTAGAAAAAAACAAAGATATATTTAAAATCTTACTAGAAATGATACAGTAGTTTATAATAAATTGAGGCTACATATTAAAAAATGGCATGCACACATGAGCTTCTAATCTTTATCCCATCAACTTGCAAATGCAGTCCTCTCGTTACATTAACAACCTGCTGTGTCCCCCACGGTTGCTTGAAACTTATCCAATGAGGTGAGCCAGTCAAGATTTGTGCGCTCTTTCCAGACCAGTTCAAAATTTCAGTACAAATTAATGTTTGTGAGGATATGAAATTATATAGATTTTACAGTAAAGAAGTGAAATAATTGCTTTGGGAAATACATATCTGTCATCAGCATATTGGATTGGATTTGAACATTAATAGCAATTCTCTGTAACCACTTAAACTTCTTTGCCACGCATGATCACCGATTTTGATGAAACTGTGCCCATTATTACAACTTGACACCAGAAAGATATATCAAATAAAATTTCGTTGCTATGTGTCTTGGTTGCCATGGTAACAGCCAAAAAAGTTGGAAAAATTGAGATTTTCAGCTACTTTGAATCTTTATTAAGCCTTAAGTAAGACTACGAATAACAAACAAACCATTCTCACAAAAACCTGACACCTTGTTGCTACTTATGCTATAAAGAAACTATTTAGAATTTATCCGTTTAGTAAGTGGTAACCATGGGTACATTTGGGACACATTTTAGATGCTGAAGAATGCAGAAAAACGCTCAATATTCACTAACGATAAGTGTTAAATGATCAAACTCAATCAACAACCTAAGAAAAAACTATAAAAATATTTGACCTTAAGTAACTAGGTATTGGCAATATTATTCTAAAAATAACATTCATGGTTGCCATGGTAACATAGTGTTATCATGCAAAATGTATTGCTAAGATTGGGTTAATGCTACTATCTTCAGGAAAAACAATAAATTTCATGACTGGCACATACACATCCTTAGGACCTTGCAACACCGACAACATAAGAAAAATTGGGATTAATTGTTACTTTGCAGTGTAACCATGGAAACAATGTACCAGTTGTTTAAAGTGATATTTCTTTTCTGCTTTAGGAATTTACTTACCTTTTATTCAAGAAACATATCATTTGAATCACCTTGAATAGTACTTGTCTGGTAGAACTAAAGTTGAATATTATATATTGATAATGTTTGTTGAAAAACACAACACTGTTGCTATGGTAACCAAGGAGGGAAAATGTTCGATTTTGTTAATTTCATATCAATATTAAACCCTTTATGCCAGCTTTTTGCATCCAGTTAGAGATTGGGTGGCAGTCAAAATTGAAAGTAAGATTAGTTGTTCATAATTATCAATCATAAAAGTTTTGGGAATCTATATACAAGGGTACGTATCCAAGGAAACAGAATATTTTTCAGATTTTTATGCATATTTTTTCGGCTTATTTCCATAGCAACGCTCCATTTAAAGAATTGAATTTGAATTTTTTGAAATGTGAAAATTAGGGTCACATGAACATCTTTAAAATTTGATCATTAGTTATATAGAAATATGCTTTTTAAAAAGATAGAATAAGATTTAAACACTAAGAGAGTAAATTTAAAATCCCTTCTTGGTATTAAAACCATGGCAACCATTGGCAACCTATAAGAAATATCATATTTCTTCCTTGGTATATGTTACAAGGATCTTTTGTCTATTATTTGCTTGCATTTCAGCCTATAATTTTTTTTTATTCTTAAGTGTATGATTTTATAAAATTAAATGAGCAAAATTATTATTTTTGAATACTTGTTTCTATAGTAACGTATGTAATAGTTGATTTACCAAACATGTTTATTATGCATTTAAGACATCAGGCCTTCCACTTTCAGAAACAATCATTGCCAGTTGTTTGCTTTGCTGCAAACGTTAACTGTGGGACTCTGAACATGTTGAAAAATGCCATTTTTCAAACTT